ATTTAAAGTGCTTTGTTATCTTCTGAAACCATGCCTCAGGTTGTGGATAGTGTCCGTTTATGTAACCTCTCTTATAGTGGCGTAAATAGATCAAAAAAAGAATGAAAAAGGAAGTGGATCAGGGTTAATATAGCTGATACCCGATCCTTTAAAATATGACTGTATCGGCTCCTCTGGATTAGATCAGGACATCCTTATCACCAACACAATTAGTGCAAAAGTAAGAAAACTGAAATAAAAACTGTGCCGATGTATTTTATTCACGTCAAAAGGATGTACACAGAACATGCCAACTGAATTAAGGCATTTAGAACCAACACAGGGTCTGTCCTAGACACCACTCAGTTCAAATGTCTACTAGAAATTTAATCTGTTTTTGCTGAGGGCGAAAAAAGCTCATTTTTCAGGTGGTTTCACTTTCCAAAACAGGCCTCTATAATAAACATCATCAGGTTGGATAGGCAGACATAACAAGCAAGCTCATATTTTTGACTCAATTAGAATTAGCATATGGGTTAGCCAGGTTGATACTCTAGTGTGGAATAACAGAGACAGTGCCCGCTCCCACACAGACAGCACAGGCTCCCATACGAAAGCTGAGACTTTCCGGGAGAGCTCGTCAGCGCAAAGAAAACACAGACTCTAATGGCTCTGGACACAGGTCAGATTCAGAGACGCTGGACTGAATGCAGCATTCCACAGCCACGCTTCAGCTCCATGTGCTTGCAATCTAACAATACCCATCAGGTGCACTAACGTCAGCGGACGGACCTAGCCGGCCAAACTGCTTGGCCAGATAAGCACATGAAAATGCTGTGCACTTGCGCTCCATTGAAACCAAACAGCAAGGCTGATTTGTTGCAATCAAGAGATTGTGCATAGCGCTGAGTGCTAAGGCCATGTTTTCTGCACTATCTGCGCCAGATGACTTCTGTTAAAGCAATACTTTCCTTCTAACTACAAATGTAGTAGACCTGCTAGAACATATTCAATGTCTAATATGTAATGGAAGCTGAATTGCATTAATAAGCATTGTTATCATCACACCTTTTTCAAACTGTGTTGAGCTTTCAAAGACGAACTCGACCGATTTTTCAAAGAGCATGCATCAATCGTTGAGTTACAGACAGTCATTCAGAGTAAGTTGACATGAGATGGTTCAACTTACCTCAGATTTCTTTAGAGTGGTGATAGGAACCCGGGGCTGTGATGTCTACCGTGCATATATGGCCACTTTATTTTCTATTTATATGATCAGTGAACCAGGGAATGGTAAAATACTGATAAATCTGAAAAAAAAAAGTTTTCCTTGGGGATGCTTTGCCTCAAAACACCCTGCATGTACGTCTCCACCACTGATGGAAAAAAATGGATTTAGGCCTAAAACAATGTCTCAACAAACAGTGTAATACTTTCTAAGAGCGTGTTTTTAAAGGCACTGAACTCTTCAGATGTTTGGTTCCTATCACCACCACTGTGAACAATACTGACTCAGGAAGTTACTTAGTTACCCTGTTGATTCAGTCAGTCTCGTAGCTCCAGCTCAAAAACTAAAGGAGCAAATGTCAGACACCAAATATGTTTTGGCTGAACTCCATTTGGACTCAGGAGAAAACTGCACAAATTTGTATAGATTATTTTTTCCAAACTACCGCTTCAAACTTGCTGTGAAAATGATGTAAGTTCAATTTCATGGAGGTCTTCATTTTCATAAGCATTCGCCAACCAAAGGACACACAAGACGTTCATTCCGTTTTTAACCAGTGAACTGGGCCAGATTTGTCAAATATAGCATTTCAAATGCATGCTGTTGTAGGCAGAACTCCAAGCAGAAGTAAAAAATACAGCATGGAGCGCATTCCTCCGTGATGTGGCCATCCTGATCAAAAGGGCCAGGCGTACATAGAGGCAAGGACTGGTGAAGGCAGAGTGAGACACTGGTGATTATGGCCTAGTGTTTCCACAACAGAGCTTCCTTTGTGCCATATTCAGTAGCATTGGGTGAAGCTGTTGCCTTGGACCTGATCTAAGATCAGCTTTACCTCTAGCGCCACACTCTAAGACTTCAGCCAAGCTTTTGTGTTTTCTTTAGCAACCTGCTGCGATACACACTCCTCTGCAGCATGACAAAAGACACACACTCTCGGTCAGGGGGAAGGGGGAATGGGAGCCACTTTGAGACACAATGAAGATGCACTGAGTATGCTGTACAGCCAATAGGCTGTGTTTTTTTGTGTAAACCAGTAAAAAGGTTTGTGTAAAGAGGACACATTTTGGAAAGCGCTAAAGTCATGATGTTCAATGATAACATGGTTAAATTATTTGGGCAAAATATCTAATTGTGATTTTTCTGACCAATATTGTGAGTGTGATTAAAATTGGGATTATTTTTTCTAAAATAAGGCCCAGGCCTATTTTTTGGCCAAGAGCACCAGAACATCCACTTTTTCTGGCTTGAATGCTAAACATAGTGCACCAGACTGCCAGCTAGTTGTGGTTGTGATATTACAGCGCATGGATGTTCGGTTGCTTCTAGTTAGTCTAACTCTACAGGCAGTTCACAAGCTCTGTGTTAGTAGGTTAAATTTACCCCCTTAAAATGTGCTAAGACAATGCCGTTAATTAATCTTTCAGCCCTACTTCAAGGTATGATGTACTGGAACTGATAGAAAGTAGGTGTCTGTCGTTTACAGATGATTTTTTGTGCCTTCAGAAAAAGAAAATGGACACATTTTCAGAAGAAACCCTACATTTCTATGTAACCTTACATTCAGCATCTTAACAACTAATACACTGATATGAATTAAACACCAAAGTATGTTTAGTTTAGCGTTTGTGTGTGCATTTCATATTGTCGTTATCCGAAGGAAACCATGTATCTCCATTTTTGTCGATTTTTATTTTTCTGCATCATTTCAACACACCAGCTGTCCTTTTGTGTGAAAATTTCATGATGAATGGACCAATAGAAATGCTCTAAAATTACACGGAACAAAATCTCTTTACATCAACTTATACTGAAAGTTAAGAGTGTTTTTGCCTTCTTCTGTAAAGCTACTATTTTAAAGATACTTGCTTTGGACAGCGACAATATATATGTATATGATTGGAAGAATCAAGTTAGGAAAATGCCGTCAATAATTTATCACCTTAACTTGTTTACGCTTCAAAGCATCTGTAGTGGAGCAGGCTGAAGCCCAGCTGCAGCTCATAGTATGTTGCCATGATAGAATCCATAATTGTTACCCTCTTGTTCAAATACAGCTTTTAAGAGTTTTAAAGTGATACGTTCAGCACCTCCGACAGACTATGCTGGACAGTGCTAGCAGGAGAACCATGGATAAATCAACGAGCGGCAAACTATGAATATAAACGAATAAAATTGGAAACTGTGTTCACTCTGTGGAAATCACATGATTCTAATGTTAACGTTCAGATAAACTCTGCATTCACATGATGAAATTAATGCTACTGGGTTACTGAAAGTAATAAATACATTCTCAGAGAGCTTATTTTGTCTGGTTATAAAGTAATGACAAAATGCAGTAATTTTTTAATGTAAAAATTTCTTCTTAGGTTCAAATTTAAGCAAATAAGACAAATGTAATCAACCGGAAATATCAACGGTAACTGTGTAAACCCAGAGGTAGATACTAGGGATCTTACAGTGTAACAGTACATCAATTCTCATGCTTCAATTCTAAAGATGTGATTTCATATTGCAAAGCAAAATTTTTGTTTTTAGCACAGTTTTCAGTTAAAATGTCTTTTCCTCACTGTTTCCCAGTCCAAGCTGAAAATAACAATGATCATATTGGGACTTTCACCCAAAAAGAGATCAATCATTGCAATATCTATTTGATGCACTGATCAAAGTGATCAATTGTTACTGAAAGGAACTGTAAGGATGGGATCATATTAATGTGACATTTGAAATATCACAAAACATGTAGAATTGTATGAGCTTGAGGTTTTACACCCCTAATATGTATCCAGAGACAGATCACCAGATGGATAGATAGATAAACAGATAAAGAAAGAGAGTATGGGGGTCTGTATTGGTAAAATGATTATGCAGAGAGTAGCAGGTGTTTCTTGAGCCATAAGAATGAAATGAAGGGGGGAGGTCAGGCTTTGAGGGTCTTCACTGCTTTGTAACTGGTTCACAGTCCACAGGGACCTGGAGCTGCTCCACAGTAATGAGCTGCTATGAGAAAAACTGCACTTTTATCCTGTTTCTTCAGAAAGAAGGGACATGTAACATATATCAACAAAAAGTGCATGGAAATCCAATGTTAGAAATAAAGGTTCTGTGCAGGTACATTTGACATTCATCAAGGTACAAACAATGTGAATGTTTCCTCAAAGGTACAACATTGGTTTCAAGGTTCCACTGTGTACCTTAAATAAGTTTTTTTTTTTTTCCAGGTGAAAAGTACATATTTGTTAATGTTTTAAAACAGAACAATAAAATTAAAAGCCTGGAGACGAGACGGGGTGTGTGGAGTCAGTACAACTTGCAATTTCAATGGATTATGGTACAATTATGGTCCTTGACTAAAGGTACTGAGATGTACCTTTTGAGGGTCCTACCCCAGTGACAAGAGAGGCACTACCCCAGAGACAGTTTAGTACCTTTTTTCTGAGAGTGTACATGTGTTTTTTTATCAGCAGAAATGAGTTTGTAGACATGCAGTGCTGCCTGCCAGGAGGCTAAACTTCTCTCCGCACAGCTGTCTCCACCAAGAAACGATAACAGAGACAACAGAGCATTTACTAACTAACTAGGTAAACTCTAGAGCCATCATTAAGGCTGATGAAAACGATGGAAGACTCTCAGTAATGCACATAAACCAGACTCGTGGCTGCACTCAGCCTGAAGCGTTTCCATCCAGCAAAACAGAAACTGCGAGGAAACTATGTGCACTTCATTAACCTGAAGAGCAAAGCAGAAGCTGTAAAACCAGACAAAAGACAAAACGTGCGAGTTATTTACTCACCCGCTGCTGGAAACTAAAGGAAAGCAGAACGGCTTAAGTGTCTCTAAGTTATTAATCCATAAAGGCTGAACCGAGTCAGTGTTGCCGTCCGTCTCCTCCGCTCGCACTGACTCACATCCCGCCAGGCAGGGTTCAATATCGGCGGAGGCCACGCCCCCTGTCCTCCTCCCTCACACACTCGCCCGCATCCCTCAGCCGGAGAGCTGGGGCGATTGATTCTTTGAACCGATTCTTTTGAACCGTTCATCGTTCACTGTTCGATTCACCGAACCTTCCATCCCAGATAGCAGGGGGATAGCGCAGGGGTCGGCAACCCAAATATAAGAAGAGCCATTTTGTCCTTTCAACAAAAATCACACCACAACGTAAATGTATGTCCATTTATTAAAGTAACGTTTTACCATCTCGGCCGTGAATATGTCGCAGTATGTGCTGATGTCCTAGTGTAGGCTAAAAAATATAAACGAAAACACAGATTTATTTTGCTCTGCTTTAAGCTTTAGCTCAATTGTAGCTGCTTTTCTTACATCATCAACCTTTCCTCCAATGAGAGGTTAAAAAATATTTTCTTGTAAAATGTTAAATTTTTGACGAGGCTGAAGTCGCTTCTGATTCGCCAGTTTCTTATTCGAATTTTCTAGTTCAACCTTAAATGGTGTCTGAGGCGCCAGAATGTAACTGCTGCACCGTTTAAGGTGGAACGGAGAATTCCAGCAAGAAACTGGCGAATCAGAAGTGGTTTCAGCTTTGCGACTTTTTAGTGTTTGACAGTTTCTTCTTGCGGATTAAACGTATCAGAAAGTTCTTATAAATGCTGAGTACTTATAAACGCAAATAATCCATCCTCTTTATTTTGGCCTTAGCTACTAGCTAGGCCAGATTGTTGTCTGTGTTGCTATGATGACTAGCAGTCTGCACGCCAACCTTCAGGGTTAAAGGGTGACTTAGTTAGTAGTTATACTAACCAGCAGACCAGCAGAGCTTTATTTTACTACAAAGCAGGAATATTTTATTTTTACCTAAAAATGTAATTTTGCTGTGGAGCTGCAGCAGGGCAGTAAAAAAGCCACATGTTGCTGACACCTGGGTTAACAGCAACACTGGCCTTTTGCTTAGCGTTATCTAGAGGCCCACTGCTGGTTAAGCAGAGTACTAGACAAAATGACACTTTTCACCATTCATTTTGCACTCACAGTCCGGTTTATGTATTATGCCTTTGTTTCTTTCTACAACCCCAATTCCAAAAAAAATCTGGCAAAGAAGACCGAGGACTGTTGAGCATCCAGAATCCTAGATCAGACAAAAATGGGATAACATTCCTCTCCCAAAACTCCTCACTTCCTAGATGTTTACAGACTGTTGTTAAAAGAAGAGTGGATGCTACACAATAGGGAGACATGGCCCTGTCACCAGTTTTCTGTGTCTGCCATCAGTTCTAAATTAGTTAATATTTTTCATGAATTGGTAAAGTGTCTCCCTTTCAACATGGTATGTGTTCTGTGTTCTATTTGTGAATAAAATATGGGTTCATGAGAATTCATAAATTCATGCTGAGAATTCATGCTGGTCTGTGCTGTTTTTTCCAGCAGGGATACCATAAATAAAGCCAGTTATACGGCTCTAACCAATCTAGCACAATGCCGGCAACAACATTTTCAACAAAATCATGTTATATGAAACTGACGTTGCTGAAAGGCCATTAGAACCACTAGGATTAAAGCATGGTTTTGCTTTGTAATGGGAACTGGCTTAATAGTCACTATTAGAGACCTCTAGTTTCCTGTAGGACACCTAGATCCCACTAGGAAACTATCAAATGCATCTGTCCTAGAACAGCTGCTAAACCCTTAGAACCCTTTACACTGTGATATCAAACCATCAGAAAAGCACAAAATACCATTAGTGACTATTGTGCACCACAAGGAACCAGCAGAAAATTAAATTTTCTCTGAGCTGTTTGTACTAGATTACTTTCCAAAATAAAAGACTATGTGCATTTAAAATCTGTTGTGGAGATTAAAACTAATTAGATCTTATATGCAGGAAAAAATCTAGGTGGTCTGAGGGTGGACCAGCTGTGGCACACAGCGGGGAGCTGCTTTTATCAAGCCAGCAGACCAATATATGCTTGCTATTTGGGATGCAACAATTCAGTTTCTGTATTTCTCACACTTTTATTTAAGGTGTTCATTTTTAGGAGACGCTTCAGAGGAGATTTAAGATATAAGCTAATCCACTTGCATCATGAAGGAGAAAGCAGGGCAGGTAAGACCCACAGATTTTATTGGGGTGGCACATTGCTAAAAATAAATAAAATAGTGTTATACTGTATTAAAATGTCATATGAAGTGATGCATTGTTTTTTTCTCTGTACATGACTAAATCTATCCATCATTTCCACATGAATGAAATACATCAGCACAACTATTGATGAAAGTAAATTGAAAGACCAAACTATGTTGATGAAACACATTTTAGTCATTCACGTGGAAATGATGCATTTGAATCGAGTAAATTAAATGCATCACATTTTTCAGTACACAACCTTATTTTTTAGGAGAAACATTTCATATAGACAGACCATACAGGTCATACATGAGTCTAATGATTAGAAAGCTCAGCACTGTGTAATGTAATTTACGACACGTGTACATTCAATTGTAGAAAGAAATTAGTTAGCACAATAAATGATTATCACTAAATAGGTTTGATAGTTACCAACAAATAGTAGCTAATAAAGTAGCTTGCAGAGCAGAACTGCTTAAGGGACCCGGTGCACATTTAGGCCCAATCCCATTTCACCCCTTGCCCCTACCACTTACCCGTTTTGCATGTTCATGCCTTGGGGTAGGGTATCCTGATTTTTGTTGAGACAGAGGGGTAGGGTGAAGTGTTGGGGCTTCATAGAGGTTTTTTGGAGGCACACAAATGAAGTGTTAGAAGAAAAAAAGAAAAACTGACAAGATGGCTGCACAAGCGACCAAAGAAACCCACAAATGTAAGTATTTTCTTATAACCATTGTATTATCTTAGTTTAATGCTGTTTTAATGTGTAATGGTCCTTTTCTTCATAACAAGCATAAAACATCGATAGTATGCTGATGTCTCAGCAGCTAGCTAGCTAAATTTTGTGTTCCACCATTTCAGGTGGAATGGAAAATTCGAACAAAAAGCTACTGAGTAGCTGACTTCAGCTTCACCTCACTGAAGAATTAGGGGTGGGTGATAATAAATAATTATCGCATCTCCCCCTTTGAAGGCATATGATGCCCTGAATTCATCTAAAGCCCAGCAGTGAGGTCGCTGAATTTTACTCTCCCCTGCTATGACTGCAGACTGGCAGGGTGACTTACAGAGCACCACTAGTAGCCTGTTAATGAAGTAATGTTCTTTTATATTTGAGGGTTGTGCCCATTTCGTAGGGGAAGATTTCAACCACTACCCTTGTGACTTAGTTCCAGGGGTAAGGTGACACTTGAAAACAAGGGGTAGGGGTGAAAATAAGGAATAGGATTGGGCCTTACTCGCCTACTGAGTAATTTAGCCAGTCACAGCAGGATATGCTAATTATTAAATGCAGCATCATCAGACTTTTATAACTGATTGATAAATAGCCTGGGGGCTGATTTTGATCATAAAGAATAACTGATCTTTGCTGTTGATAGCTAACTGTTTCAAGGTCTAATAGACCACCAGACCATCAGATAAACAGCACTTAAAGCTTCCATCTTTGAGAAAGAGGAGAAATATAAGCTGCTTGGGTCTGAAAGGTTGTGTAGCTGTCAAGAAGCCCTCACTGAGAAAAGGAGACAGACACATCAAACAAAGAAGCTGCTGGTGTTCTCAGAACAAAGGACTGACCACCCCAGAGTCCAGACCTCAATATCAGTAATTGTGTTTGTCACTGAAGGCGAAAGCTACAGGTACTGTAAGCACAAACCTTACAGCGTTATAGGACTGTCTTCATTATGAATAGATCAGTTTGTCAGAACTAAAAGCTATTTAAAGCAGGAACATTCTGTGCTTCCCCGTAAACACAGTTTAGCTCTTTATCTTCCATAACCACATGAGCCTGATCTCAATTTACTCTAAGACTGCTCGTCTTGTTTCCGCCAAATCACTTTTGAACAACACAGCACTGCCTGGCTGTTTCTAATAAAAGCTTGAAACGCTGAAGCCTTTTAGTCAATCATGAGCTCACACATTAAAGGAATGTAATACTACAGTGCACAAATAGTATGAAAGCCTAGTTAAAGATAGAATCTAAATGTTCAAATTTGATTCGATTTATCAGTGTTTCTTATTAATAGGTGCTGAATGTGAGGTCGTAGGTACTGAACGTTTCACAGTGGTGAGAAAGAAGGCATCTGGTGGGTCTTGAGCTGGAAAACGTCTTTTTGTCTACAGTAAAAAGGAAAATCATCAGCCAGTTACTTATCTTACCATAAGCTAGTAAAACGTGACGTGACATTTTTATTATCACACCTTTAAAGTCTGCAGAATGAGTGAAATTTGTGTCTTTAAGGTCCATTTTATCAGCAGAGTCAATGAGACACTCACAGATTAGTGCTAGCTACTGCTAGCCCATTTCTCCTGGAGCCTCTTGACCTAAATGTCTCACACAAGCTCAAAGCTAATCAGCCAGCCAGACAGTTTGGGTTTGTTCTGTTTGTGTCTGACTGTTAAATTAGTTTAATTCATTACTATTGCCACTCATGACTGGTCACTTTTTGTCTGCAGCTGCCCTGCAGGCAGGGTAAAGCCACACAAACTCAAGTATGTCTCAATATATAGCCTTTAGCTTTAGCTTCAGGGCCTGCTAACTGATAAAATAGTGGTAAACACTATTAGCACCTCAGTTCCCCTGTGCATTCAACCCCATCCACCGTTAGCATCTCTTCCACAACCTCTTGTTAATGACAAGAGCGGCCACTCACTCTACATAATCATAGCTGAGGGGTGTTGGTATTAGCGATCCTCTCATGGGGGGAAATATAATCATTTCACTCTTTGAGAAAGCTCTAAGGAGAAGTCTCAGGGGAGACAGACTCCTCACCGCTGGCCAAATATCATTATTATTCACACGAGTCCACTGAGGCACA